ACTCAACAATATGAACATTATGTACGGTTACGTTCAAACGAAAGTCAGAATTTTACTTCATCTTCTAACAACTCAAGACATTGGCTACGTCAATGAAAAAATAAAATATATGAAGAATCGAGAATGATTCGTGCATATATAGTTTTTGTTGTTGATGCATTTCTGCGCCATCACTTTGATACTCTTTTCTGTTGTTGATCTCTCAGACGCACATGCTTTACGACCCTTCCATTACAATACTAACACTTCACAGAAATTTATTGTGTGGTTGAAATGCAAAAGCACTTGAAAGTCAACAAACTCCAGTCGCTTTCATTCGTAGCTACTCAAATCTCAACAGCGCACGCGGATGACTTTCTCCATAGAAAAAATCAGCAAGAGTAAATATACAACAGACAACTGTCGTTTTGAGTCTGAGTATTCGATTTCTGCATTGGCTTTGCCAAGCAGTTTTCATTCCACTCGAAATATTGATGTTAGTCTATAGGTGTAATTAAAATTCATCGCAGAACAGGATTTGATGCATGCAAGCTGAGGTACGCTCCCACATTACGATTTTAAATGTATTTCACTTTTCGTAATATCTAGAAGATTCGCATCCAAGTCATAGAATACTCTAACTCCTGTGTAGAGAAAGAGAAAAACGAGAAGTATAATGAGTAAGAGTATCAGACTAACCGATGACTCCATATTTGCCAGAACGTTTGGATAGCTAATACAATATTGGAATCCATCAGCGCCACTCACGTATAGGTAAAATAGAGTCAGAAATCTATTCGTTTATTTTTCGCTTGCTTATTAGATGAGGGCGCCTTGAAAATTCGAACGCCAAGCTTTTCACCTTGATGACCAGGTTTTCCGTTTTTTTTTAATTATGCTGGATTTTATTTGTGACATCCATAATTTTTTTTTTGGGGGATTTTTGCAATTTTTTTTTGCGGACGCTTACGAATGTATGTAACGGACAGGATAATGATAACAAACAGAGAAAGAATACAAAGAAAATGAAAACGAACAGAATGAAACTCGAATTCGAGCTAATGATGACGATGTAGCGTGCATCGTTGCTTTTTCTTTTGTTTATTCTTCCGATACCATATATCTTGACACCGAATGCATGATGCCGGGGGAAGGGATCGAACCTTCTGATCTCTGGCTATAATCAGATGCATAGAACCACTACGCCATCCCCGACGTCAGATTTTCCGTTTTGGACAGATAAATCTGCGAAAAGCAAACTATAGCACTCACTTTCAACCGATTTTATTATTTTTACATAACCATATGCGTCTTAAGTATCTTCTGAAGCGCATTTAGTGGAGGAGAAAGAAGTAAACGAGCAAACTTTCGAATCCGTTCTACCTGCATTTATGTAAAACAGATGAATTCTAATAATCTATTTCGAATCTACCTCATGTTTTCTCAATATTAGTTTTCGCCTGCGAACAGACTCGAAAGAAATTAGTTTGTTCTTAAACTTTTCTCCACCACTTAATGCATCGGCGAGCCAACAGAAAAATACTTGGTGTGGCAAAAATAATTTTCGGTGCGGCAATTGCTGGAAAAAATCGTTTTATGGATCAGTTTTTGTCAAATTATCGGTTATTCCAAATATTTTTGCTGTGGCAACTGCCACACTTTGCCATGCTGGTGGTCCGCCGATGACTTAATGTTCAATTCTGGCTTTAGTTTTAAGGAATTCCTTAACAAGTTGTTCGGAGTTGTTCAGACATTTGAAAGTGGACGCATTAATGTAAATTTGGGGTGTCGGTGTGGGTGTGGCTGGGTGTGTGGGTGTTGGTATTTAGGTGCAATCGAACAAAAGAAGCATACGACCACCCACACCTACACCCACAACCACAGCCAAATCCACACCCACACCCCACACTCACACCCACACTCCACACCTACACCCACACCCTAACAGATCCAGCTCATGCGAACAAGAGCTGGCTGACTAGTTCTTGCTCAGCGAACTGAGCTGAAGCTATGACATACCTACTTGCGGTTACCGCTGCAACATAGAGCTTAAGGATTTGTGGATACTCCTATATAATCGTCTCTGGATACCTGCAATACAGTGAGGAGTTTTCGCATAAGCAGGCGCACATAGGATTTTTTTGCTCAGAAATAACCATACACCACTTAGAGAATCGTCTTTATGAAAACAGAAGGTTTTTAAGAAAAAAAATTTTTCGAAAGAATATGCCTGCGAAAACCCTCAGCCATAATTTTCCGAAGAGGATTTTTTTTGAAAAATATGTTGAGCTACATATCATTCGAAGTAGTTTAATGCATTGATTCCGAATATCACCTTAGTTTTTCTTCAAAGCCTAATATGGAAGTCTAAAGCTGGATTTCCGACGAGAAGCCTTGGGTTTTTTGACATTCTGTAAAATAGTCTTGGAAAGGTTTCATGAGTTGGCGCTACTATCTTAAGTAGGATACATATGTAAGAGCGTCTGATAAAAATGTGCGCTCGATTGGACGTTATCCCTTTGTATCGTTTAGAATATACGGAACGGTATGGTTTTGGACCCGGTTTACCGGTAAAAGTGAGCCGAAAACTTCTTGAAAAGTTATTGGATGTATATGGTCCGATGCAGCTTGACGAGCTGATTCCGAATATCATCTTGGTCTTTCTTCTATAACACGAACGTCCAAAACTGGGTTTCCTACCAGAGATCTCAAGTTTTTGGGCATTCCCTAAAATAGTGTTAGAAAGGTTTCATGAGTTGGCGCTACTACAATAATTAGGATACATATGTATGTATATATGATAAAAATGCGCGCTTGATCAGACATGATCCCTTTGTAGGGTGTTTAATATGCGGAACGGTAAGTTTTCGCCATAGAGACTATGTGTTTTCGGCTCTATTTTAAATTGGATTACGATAATTATTTTTACCACAAAGTTCATAGGTGAGTAAGGTTTTTGCGATATTGTTTGCTTGTGGGATATTGTGTGATATTGCTGAACGGCTTGACTTTCTTTATTTATGCTGATTTCTAGGCCCAAGTCTGGGCACACTCTTTTCTTGGGCGTTATAAAAGTTTGAGAATCACAATTTAAGGAAATGATGGATCACATATGCATGTATCTACACAAATGGTTAGATTCTGGAAAAGAATATTTTCGCACATGTTTGCCTGGCTGTTCACTGTGACAGGCATCAACGCTTCCTGATTCAGCGTTACTTCAGCTGTGTATTGATTTTGTGTTGCTTTTTACTTGTAAGTTGGAAAAAACCCGCTGATCACAGCCAACAAAGTGCACCATTCTCCATTTTCTTCTCAAATATTTACTATGCAAGCGAAGGCTGCTACTAAAGTATGCTGTGTGCAAAGACACCGACTTTCCGCGAAAAAAGAACAAAAGCATGTTCGTCAATCAACCTTTTTCTTTCTCGCTGCGAAGGATTCCTGCGACACAAAAGACATACCGCACCATGGTCGAAGAATAAGACAAGGATTCATGGTGTTTTATCGAGTCTTTTCGACTACATGAAATATTCACTGTAGACTTGATTGATTGGTGAGCGAACAGTCCAGGATGAAACTTTTGGAAAGTTCATTTCTCAAAACTATATGCGAATGTTGGTGAAGAGCGCATATGAGTGTCAGATTCACGAAGGTGTGGGTGTGGGTGTCTATTCTCTTCAAACAGACTCACACCCACACCGACACCCACACCCTATACATTCATTTAAATGAATTTTGAATTTATTTCTTTTCTTCTTGTTAATTAATTGTATTAACATAAGACAAAATATTGAATGATATTGATGATTACTAGTTTTTTTTGATTCATTTTGTATTTTCAACTTTGAAGAGTTTTTATGAAGATAAATTCTACTAATGACTGATTTCTCATTTGTCAAAAGCTGATGTTTGATCTTTTGAAAGCCTTGATTATTCTTACAGATATCATCTAAAATACGGCGAAGATCGTTACATATTTTTGTATATGTTTTTGATAAATTTTACAGTTAGAACAACGTATGTTTCAGCATCAGACATTGTTAATTTACTATTTAACATTTGTTGAATAAGATCTGATTTAATTTAATGTTCCTATTGAGATTATGAATGTGGATATTAAAATTATCGTTTATCCATACACTCACCTACTCCTCAACCACGACTAGGGTGTGGGTGTGGGTGTGGGTGTGGATGAAGACAATATCGACACCCACTCCCACACCAACACCCACTCCCACACCAACACCCACTCCCACACCAACACCCACACCCACACCCCACACCAACACCCCACACCCACACCCACACCCACACCCACACCCACACCCCACACACACCCACCCACATCCACCCACACCCTCACATCCACACCCCTGGAAAAGTCAATTATTATTGTCGCAACTTTTGATATCTATGAGTAAATCTCAGACTATATATACTATAGAAGCAAATTTCTTTTTTCTATAAATAAATAATAACCTTACAAGTAAATAAAGTATATTTACTTGCTAGCCTTTCAAAGAAAATACTTTTTCTATGGGGATGAAAAATTCTCTTTTCAATGATCTATTATTTGTTAAGAAGAAACGTTTTTCAGACATTTATTTCGCATGATTATCAAAGAGTCTAGATTTTATGTTATTTACGATATAGAAATAATGAGAAAAAATCTTGACTTTTATTTTTCTTTCCAAGCAAATGAGCTCGGAAAAAACTTTTTTCTTATTCTTATAAATTGTTTTCGTACAATTTACACCAAACGAAATAGAAAATATATTATACAATTATTACATTCGTTTTCTTGTTTGAAAACTATTAAGGAATGTGAGAAATAGAAATGCATATTACATTTTCTCATGTTGATTGTTAAATCGATCAGATTTTTAAAAAAAAGATCGAATTAATCTATTTTAAGTGTGCGTCTGGGTATTCTTTTTATTTCCACAGCCACACCCGCACCCAATATCGTGCGACGTTATTCGATCTATTACAATAAACTACTCATATCAATGCTGTAATCAAAAAGCTAAATCTAAGAAAAAATATAAAATAGATTAAAAAAAGCGGTGATCGAAAAGATTTTTCTTCGCTGTTGGACATTAACATTCGTCTCATTGTCTTTAAATTAATACTATGCACTCGTACAGACACCATGACATTTTGAATAGCGGGACTGTCATCAGTAATTAAAATCTCTTCTTCAAGGATATCTCCACGCATTCGCATGCTGACGACGGCAAATACACCATTAAATTTAAATGATGACACTAACACGTTATGAATCCATCGTACTGCTACCTTGTCACCACTACGACCGTCTTCAATATAGAGATCATCAGGACCACGTCCTCGGCAGAGACGATTGTCTTTAGTATCTTTAATTGTACCGTTCTCTTTAAAAATGCTTCGCCACGTGGTGCAACTGTTATCAACCGTTGGATAGGGTCCAATCTCAAATGTCACATTCCAGCCATTGCCTAATACACCTTCCGGATAGGCTTCAATGACACCATACCAAGTAGCAGTCCAATTAGTCTGAACTGTTCCAGATGCACTCATAGGCCAACCTGAACATAGAAAAAAATCTTATCCATGTCTTTCATATGAACAAAATGATTAATCAACTAAATCAAAATGCATATTTGAAAGAAACAAAAAGACAATTATAGGTAGAATCTATGATAAAAGAAAAATTATGTTTCTCAATTTCAGCCATGAAAATGTTGAAAAATTTGGAAATATATTATGAACAGTGACTCACATACGAAGAATCAAATAGATGATGACCTTTAGTAAGATTTAGGCGAGAATATGTGAAAATATGTTTTGTATCAGATGGTAATATGCAGTAGACTTTTTTGCCATATGCTGCAGAAAATAACTTTAACAGGAATATCTCTGCATACTTTTGATGTAAAATATTTCATGTGAAAGTAGTCGGTCATTACTCAGTTGTTAATCAGAAAGAAGTTTATCTTCTCATATGTCAACAATCGATCACCTTCATTTGTTTCAAGCGATGAATATTTATATATATGTTGGAGTAGAAATTAAAATTCAGTAGAATTTAAAATTCTACTAGTAGAGATTAAAATTTGAATTTCTACTGGGAGAAATCGAAATAACAGGCGATTTTAAGTTGCACTAGTAGAAGTT